TATCAAACATTCTCAATGCTCTAAGTCTCTTGGCTTGCTTATTGACGAAAATCTTACATGAGAAAACCATGTTGAAGCTTTATCTAAGAAAATTGCATCTGGTATTGGAGCTATAAAACGCATCAATCATTGTTTTCCCCCTACCGCCTTGCGTGATGCATATTATGGCCTTGTCCAATCACACTGACTATTGCAGCGTGGTATGGGGTAGCTGTGGTAAAACTTCGTGTGATAAATTGCAGCGGCTCCAGAACCGTGCGGCACGCCTTCTTACAAACTCCAATTATGATGCAGATGCGAGTATACTTTGAAATGTCTTGGGGTGGCAAAACCTTGAAACTCAGCGGCAAATTCATAAGGCTGTGATGGTGTTGAAGTCTTTGAATTGCCTTGCACTTGATTACATGTCTTCAAAATTCATACTACCCAGCGATTTCTTTAATTCCTACAGCCTTGGAGATTCTGAGAAATAAGCTTGCTGTTCCCTTGCCACGAACCAGTAATTACTACAGAAATAGCTACTGCTACAGCGGGGCTGTTCTGTGGAACAATTTGCCCACTGATGTAAGACAAGCAAAATCTTTAACTAACTTTCGGAAACTGTTAACTTCTAGATCGAAAACGGCATTCATGTTAAATAGGCTTTAATTTTATGAATTAATTTTTTCTATTTATTTATTTCATCATTCATTTTTGTAGGCGCTATTACTGTTATTAATTCAATAGTTTGTAACTTTTTTAGGATATTGTATATTCATTTAGCCTGATGTTTTTACCGTGTGTAAATAAAATTGATGATGATGATGAAATATCGCAGAAAACCAGTGTGATATCTATATGTTTGGCTGTAGGGGACATACAATTTAAGGTGTCTAAAATGCGGCGAGGAAAAGTGCGCCCACCATACACAACACGACAAGCCCAGTGCAGTTTACCCGCTAGCCATTGCAGTTGAGTTTTTGTGGCGCGACGCTTGGTTTGGAAGCAACAAAGAACGGCCTGGAGATATGTTAATTTATCCTGCAGTAGGGTCATGGTACTAGAAATGGTATCCAGCTGAACACCGGGGAAGACGGGTCGCTGGGTAGTGGGGACCAATTTTTGCTTACTGATCCTGAACCATAAATCTTGGAGGAGCGTCACAAGAATATTATACGCCCGTTCGCAGTCTGCCCGAGTGGCCCCAAATACAAGAAAGTTCTCAAGATACACAACAATGTTGGGGAAACCTTTCCTGGCCATCATGCGCCGCACTGCTTGAGTGATGCGGTATAAAATTTCCGGAGAACTTTTAGCCCCAAATGGACGGCGAGGGTCATAGAAAAACGTGTCGTAGTCGTCCCCCATAAAACGCCGTTTGCAGCCGGTTGCCTGACAATTTGTAGGACGAATGGGGATGGAACGGTAAGCATGCTTGAGATCCTTTTTTTGCCATCACATATTTAGGCCTAATCAACTTAATTATTTTTACTGTATAAGCAGCTGAAGGTAATGTTGAATAACTTCATGAGAATTTAATTTCCTATTCGCTAGGAGATCGAGGTTGTAAAAAATTCTAGTATTTCCTATCACCCGCTGTTGCAGTGTGACCTGTTCTGATTTGGGCTTCTTAGGCCCATAGGGGACAACAAGTTTAGTGTCACCACCTTCTGAAAGTGTTCTTTTATCCTCTCTGGGGACAATGTTATCTTAAAGTCAATGATTCTCAAAACTTTCTCACCTTTCTCTCTTTCCTTTTTCTCTCTCTTTCGGCAGTTGAGCAGGCTTGAGAAATCTCTCGGAGGATTCATTGGCGACAGTATTTGCAGACAGCTGCACAGCCGGCAAGGTTGGAGTCGATTGTTGGCCGGTCGCGTGACCAGGAAAAGACCAGTTATGATCCTGGCTAGACATGGGTGAAGGAAATGACAATAAAATGCCATCCAGGGGCTTTTCTTTTAGGTGGCGTTTCATTTTGGCAATTGTCGTTGGTTCACTGTTGCGGCCAGCGTCAAACATCTGCCTCGACGCAACCAAACTTACGCGTTTTTCGTCTACTTCACGCTGAAGCGCAGCCAGCTTGTGTAGCTTCTCAGCTGTTGTGCATTCCCACGAGCCAAGCTTTCCAGTTCTTGCTCTAGTTCCAAAATCTGCGAGTCTATGTCCTGGCACGCGTCGATATTGATCTTGCCCTGGCGTTGGGAGCGCTGAGGTGAACTTTTTTCTAGTCCTTCACAAAACTTAATCGAAATTCCCCAACTGACCCCGGCCATCGGGACGTTCTCTTCTTCTCTGTTGATTCTTTGCACTAGGTCTGATTGAGATCAGAATCAGCCATAATGCGAATTGGAACTAAATGGAAACTGATGTAAAACTAATTAAACAGCAATGTGCACATGCTTGCTGTAAAAATGCTATGTGAAATAAGTATATTAAGAAACTCAGCTTAAGCATCGGTTGCATGCAGTGGTTTTACTAGACATTATATTGAGCAAGACCTAGTAGTTTTAATGCAGTTATACAATTCTACATGTATTGGTAAACTACCTAACCCAAAAGGAAGATGGACGCTACCCGGTCATAAGTATAGCGCTCCTTACAACGATCTAGATAAACAGGTACGTATTGATCCAAAAACCAGTGAGATACTTGAGATCTATGATCCTCCCACTGGAAAAACGGACGCTATATCGGACGCTATATCGATGTTGATTAAAAAGATATTCAAAGAGGAAAGGGTCCCGAAATATCTGTGGAAAGACAAGGGGAAAGAGTACTATAACAAAAGCTTGAAAGAGGTACTAGATAAGAACAAAATAGTGCTCTACTCTGCAGAGAATGAAGAGAAATCCTCGGTGGCTGAGAGGTGGAATCGAACCATGAAGGGTAGGATGTGGAAACGATTCACGGCTCAAAATTCGACAGAGTCGGTGGATATACTACCGGGGCTGTTGAGAGAATACAACAACACAAAGCATTTCTCTTTTTACGAGCAAGAGATATTAAAGGTTGAGCTTCCCCAGGATTCCCTATTCAGGATTGAAAAGATGATACGGCGAGATAACAAGCTCGGTAGAACGCTTGTTAAGTGGAGCGGGTACCCTGATATTATTTAAAAAATAGAGAGCATTCATATGCAAAAGAAAAAAAAAAAGATGGCTGAACCTAATGAGAAACTATATCTGAACCTAAAAGAGATTCATAAGATGTGCCATGAAAAGAGGATCAAAAACGTAAAAATAAAAACAAAAGAACAGCTTCTTGAGGAGCTGGGGATCGACCCTAAGAAGTTAGTTAAGCCTCACCGTAGTACCTCAAAACCGGTTAGATTACGTAATCTAACCTCTGGTTTAACTACCGATTACGAAAGCATATACCGCTGTGGAAAAGATCTGGGGATCAACCTTAGAACGAAAGACAGGTACCTAAGCTAAAGCAAAAACAAAGGTGAGCCCGAAAAATTCATGCATTGCTCGAAACAGCTGGCGATTTCATACCTTTGAAAACCCGTGATAAGATAACCTATAGACCTTTTTCATTCAAATAGGATGAAAAAAAGTGACTTAAAGATGTAGGGGTAATATATATGATAAGATACTGTGCTTGAAGAAAGACACGCTCGGATTAAGTCAAAGCGACTATCAGCTACCCCACGCGTTCCCACCGTACCTCATCCGAGAGGGATACCGAGACCGAGACCTTTCCCGGCGCGGAGAACTGCCAGGAGAGCCAACCATGCTCCTAGAACGCTATTAGATACCGATATCCACATCCCACAAGCGCTGCCACCTCCTATATAACAACCGACAAAATACCAAAAGGTAAAAAAGGCGGTTGGGTGGGGAAAGAAAAAGGTAGATGATTGGGGAGAGCGATTTCGCAACGCCCCCACAGAAGAACCGTGTCCTGTTTAGGACACGCCCAAAATTATATTTCTGTTTAGGACAGAAAGGAACAAAAAATGTAGGCCATATAAGGAAGTACACATTTGAGGGCTCAAATTAAGCTTTATTTTGCGCCCTAAAAGATAACATTCTAAAGCAGAAAGGTAAATAAGAGATACAGAGGTGGCATTTTGCGATCTAAAGTGATTGTCTGTGTGCGTAAAAATATTAATATAATTTGTCATTCTGTCCTGAAACATCCAAAATCAGCAGTTTGCTAAGCAGGAAAATTCCAATATTCCTGTGATCTAAGGCACCATATCAAGGCTTAGGGTGACGAAATAATGGACGAAATTGTCCACCTAAGCCTGTGTGTTAACTTATGTGGATCGAATGTGGACACTGCTGTACGGTCTGGCAAATGGAATCTTTCTTGGCACAATTTGAAATTCTGAAAAGGTTCATTGGGCAAGAAGTCTTCCCACCATGCATTACTGATATTGATATTTCCTTTGTCCGTGGCAACAACTCCAAGTGATCCGCATAACCATCTAAAAGCTGAATTCTCTTAAAGAAACTCACCCTTGCAAAAGTGGGCCGACCATAATCATGATTTTTTGGGGGACGGGAGATTTGATTCAGGGAATTTTTTTCCCCAGGTCTAAGCGCTCTTTTGATTCATGTTTTCTGGTGTGCACTAAAAGTGGCTGGCTAAGTCCATGCACTGTGTAATTGGTTCCTTGACCAGGCAAAAGAAGTTTTTTTCTCATAATCAGTTCCAAGTCTGTTTGCAGAATATACTTTCTTGAAAAGTCCAAAGTGCAGCTCCTAATAAATGCTGTAATAGCATGTCAAACGTGAGTTAATTCTGTCTTCAACTTTCTGTCCTTGAATTTATATTGATTAATACATGTACAGTCTACAGGAACTACATTTCTTAGCATTACCAGATTCAGTGCAGTGTGTATAATATAATTATACATAGTATAAACTCGGAATACAATTCCTATCATGATTAAACCAATTTGTACCACCCACTCTTCACGACACTTCAGTGAAGAATACTATGTAAATAACCCACCCATAATACATGCATTTATGGACTAGGAAATAATGGTAGTGTCTGTACAGTCTTGACTATTTGCCATCCCCCTTTTTCTTTCCAAGGCCAACAAGGTCCTTGATTCTCTCTTTGGCTAGCTTGTATTCCTCTTTAGAGAAATGTCTCCTTAGAAGAGGATCAGAGAGCATGTAGAAGTTATCTACTGCACGCATGATCAACAGCAAAGCTCTTATATAAGCATCTTGAGAAACATTTTCCAAAGCCACTTGACGAATTTCTTTAACCAAGGCAGCCTCTTTTTCTGCAAAACAAAGGGCGGAATCATGAAAACTGATTATTCAAACAATTTTTTGTCAGTTAAAATTAATACACTTTATTTATACACCTATTTCATGTATGTTGTGTTAAAACATGACGTTCCTTATAAATGATTGTTAGTAACCCAGGCAATGCGGTAGAAAACAAAAACAGCAACAGGTAATTCAGTTAAAAAAACAAAAAACAAAAGGAACCTCTGACCTAATTCCTCCGGAACCTCTGACCTAATTCCTCCGGGATTGTCCAAAAGTTGGATTAAGTGCCATCAACCAGTTAAATCATATCTATGGTGTAGCACATAAGTATTTGGAAAACCGTATTGTTGCCTTATCCATTGGAGGGATATTTAAGCTTCATATGACAACAATGACTTTTTGTCATCTTACACACTACCTACAGGGTTAGATTGCCAGGGGGTTAGAGGCAGAGCGACAATGATAAATAATATGATAGTATTAGCAATTGCCGTGTGAGTCACATGCAATGCAATTCCAGCAAAATTATCAACCAATCATTTGCAAGGAAAAATCATGATTCCAATGGAAATAACTGTCTTGTTCCTGTTCCCCTCATACGGGCCCAACTCCCGTCATACCCCAGGGGTTCCCTGATCTCCCTGTGAGCAACAGGGTGTCCAGCAGCATGGTTGCTCAAATAAAATAGGAAAATAGGACACTTAGGATTATGAAAATAGGAAAAATAGGAAACTTTCTATTAAAAAATTGGAGAAAATAGGAAAATCAATAGTACTTTTCTCGACAAAGATAGATTGACTGCACCACATCAGGGTTATAATAAAGGCTACGAGTCCTTAGCTTCCACGTTCCAGGATTTAGATCAACTTTCACTGGTAAGAAGGCGTGAAAATGATCATTATCGTTTAGTTTATTGGCTCAGTGTGTGTAATCAGAACTGATGATATGCTGGACTAGAGGTTGAGCATGGTTTTATAATCAAAGATGATCATATGCAAATTCCCTTCAAGTTGGCAGCAAATCTTTCAGAAGTTTTGAAGAGTGAAATTTCTTAGGACCGAAATTTGTTATGATTGTGTTGTCACTGAAGACTATCGAACAAGGACTTAAAAGTCCTATGGAAAGCTTTCCTTCCATTAATCTGCAATCAGTGGCTGGTTGAGAATAATTATGCTTGTTTGAGTCAAAAGACCGCATAATTTTAATTTAAGTACAGAACCAGGCTTTCCGGTCCGCGGTGTATGCAAAATGACACTGACCTATTCCGTTAACCAGATTGTAAGTGTGTCATGGTTAAGTTCTAAGAAGAACATAACACTCTGCTTAGCTATGACTGCAAGACCGGTTTCACGACCAAAATATTGGATCCTTTGTCAGTAGCTTAGGAATAGCTGTTAACAAGCTAAACGGTTCACCAAGGGGGGCTAGTGCTGTAAACAGCTAAACTTTAGTCTGTTCGTGGCATCCAGAATCAGCTAGTGATTGGATTTTTAAACAAGAAGCTGATTGGATGATTTATCTGCCCTTTGCTGTGAGAGGACAACTTGATCCTGATTTCAGGTTGAAAGATAAACATAAAAATGCACATACTGAAATGCAGTTTCTGTGCTATGCACATTATTATTCAATAGTCATGAGAACTATAACACGACATACAATACATGTAGGTGCACTAGAAAATTATACAAAAAGTAGTAATAATAATAATAATTTAAAATTTATAAAACGCCTTTTCCATGCAAATATCATCAAAAGCGCGTAAAGTAGCAATATAACAAAGTTGTTAACAGAACCCTAATAGGCAATAGAGGACATGGGAAGAACAAATGTAAAGTTCTATTATTTTTGCTAATATTAGAACATCAAAGTCAAAATACTACTTGCCTTATGATAAAGCTCACTCAAAAGCTAATTCCACTTTCAATTTAGTTACAAATTTTGGCTTCACCAGCCAAAAAATAGGAAAGATAGGAGGTTTTAGTTTAAAAATAGGAGAAAATAGGAGTAGGCTCAAAAAATAGGAAAAAATAGGAAAAAATAGGAACTGGACACCCTGAAGGTTGCCCTGACAGGTGTACTATTGAACTGACCCCTAGCCCCAAAAGGATAACACCTGTGACTGGATTTAAAAGTTAGAATAATTTTCATTACTTACTCTGACTTCAAGATGAGTGCCAAGTAAGGCCCCAGTTGTTTACAAGGTGGACAGTGCTATACTATAGCTTTATTACTATCCCGTGGATAGTGGAATATTTTATTGGATTTTTTAAATACTAACCCACTGGATGGTGATTTAATTATATAGAGCATTTTCACATGACGTCATGTCTGCCATGTTGGCTTCCCAAACAAGTCCTGTGAGAGTTCAACATTTTTCTCATGTAAACGCTTTCTTTGGATCCAATAAATTTGCATATAGCTGCTGTCCACACGAGTTAAAATGCTCTATAAGGTGGATAGCGCTATCCAACTTTGGAGCAGCTGGGGCCTGGTTTACAGGTACCACTTACAATGAACCCTTTAGTACAGTTAATTGTAGAGCTAATTGATTGACCTACAGCTATCGTTGTCCACTAATAAAAAAATATTATGCCCCATAAACTATTTGAATAAAGAATTTGTACTGATATCTGTATAAGTAAACTAAAAATGATTAATTTAAAAGCAAGCTTCAAAATATGAGTGAAAATCAACGCATAAAAAAACATAATTTTGATCCCTTTTTGATTGCAAAGCACACTTCTTATGACCAAAGGAGTTTGCTAGTGGCACACATTGGGAATTGGCTGGCTGATATCAATATTATTGGAAAGCCAAAAAAAATAACAGGAATTTCAGGCTCGAAAAGTGAAAAACACACTGTATTTAGCTGTTTTACAGATTTGCTGGACAATTGAGTGTGTTAATCCTTGCACTCTTTATTTTATATGTAACAACTACATGTAGACCCATTTGAACCGAGAGATGCCCTTAAGGACCACTCCCATCAGTTTCATACACAATTCAATTCAGCACCCTCATCACTTGAAAAACTAATGTACCGCAGGCCCTAGCTGTCATGCAATTCATTAATTATGTCGGCCTGCTAATTTCTTAATTGACGTACCTGGTTGTATAGTAGGATACTTCATTCCAAAGAACTTCTTCTTCTTGTCAAGAATACCCTGGTCCACAAGATCATCCAACGCTTTGTAAGCACAGGATTTTTCAGACTTATCTTTCCATATACAGACTTCTTTTTCAAAATAATCTTGGACCTTTTTGGGCTTTTCAGGTGACTTATCCTGATGCTTCTTAATTTGTTTGAAAAGAGCATCATCTAAACATGTAATTCCAGTTGGGGTAGTATCCTTTACCTTTAAGAAAAAAAAAAACATATAAATAATAGCTGCTGATCAGGAAAGCATTATGGTGGCCACTAAGTTAGCTAGGGGTGTCTTTAAAGACAGTCATCCTGAACACGTACATGTAGAGGCAAGAATTTCTGATCAATTACATTTGATTTGTAATCATACTACCTTGTTGAAAAATCAAAGAGCCATAAAATAATGCACTTCCTCTCAATTTCGGATGTAAGATAATTTTTATGTGCTCAGCCAAGTTTTGGCATTAGCAAGATTCCAGCTCATTATTTAAAGCAAGCATTGGTCACATGACCTCTTAATGCAAGTGGCCTAATGGTCTCACTTACATGTAGGGTTTTTGGGACAAAGTCAGTGTATTTGCTCATCTAGGGATCGCTGGATTAGGGCTATGGCTAAAGAATTTTACAAAAAAATGCCATGACACTGACCGCACAGAAATTATGCTTAAAAAAGAACACAACATCCCTGGCACTTGTTTAGATTAACGTGGCTGGCTCTTTAGATGTAATTTAGATGTCTGTTTTCATTCGGTCTTCTTTAGAGGTTACTGCATGTAGTTGAAGCTTAAGCCACACTCACATTGGTCTTCCTTAGGTGTTTAATTTGAATTTTCCAGCAAACATTCCTTTCACCTTGCGTTTGAATGCCAACAGTAACTAATAAGAGAAGGATGTCTTGCGACTCAGAGCACAAATTTGATATAATTTACTAAAAAGGAATGTTCCTTATGCTCTGCCACTTACTTTCCTTGAATGGAAATTTTTGTTGAAATTATTGTTTACTGGAATAAGAATAATAATAGGACAATCACATGACTTTTGGAGGGCATACCAAGTAGCATCATTTGCGCCCGAACGGAGCAAGGTTGCAAATGATGCTACAAGGGACACAATTATATTTTAATGCCCCTTAAAAGTCATGTGATTATCATTACATTATTATCTGCAATACACAAGGTGAAATCTTTGCCGCAGTGAGCAAAATGAAAACACAACAAAAATCTAATAAACTCAACTAACTTATTCTTCGCATCTTTCCAAACGCCGTCCATTTTCTGCCCCCATGAAGTAGCGATTCAATTTCTGTCTGTCTCCTGACTGAATAGATGATTTGTGTTTTGCTTTAGCATTGTTTTGTTGGCGGACATGAATTCGCAGTCTTGCAAAATGTTTATGTTTCAGCTGAGTGGAGCTCAGGTTAGATGGCGATGAATGACTCCATGATCTCATTCCAGTTCATGCACTTGGAGTGAATGCACAGCCTTTCTCTGTTTTCACTTCAGCGAAGAACTTTTGTAGAATTTCACTTTATTCACAGATCCACTGTAAATTAATTTTTCTTTTCTCACACCATTTCTCGAACTTTTTTACTCTCCACTCTTGCTCTCTTGGTGTTTTTTGCTTGAGCTTTAACTTTTGCTCAATTTCATCCAGTTGCTCATTGTTTACGTCCAAATTTTGACCAGAAAAAAGCTTAAAATTTGGGACTTTTCCATTTTAAAATAGAATCTCCAAACGTCAAACGTTCATCACAAAACTACAAAGTGAGCAAGGGCAAATTCATCCACAAAAACTTGCGCCAACTCTGGCACTGAAATGGTATCCTCAGGTACTCATTGGCCATGCAAAGTTGTTTGACATCTCTACAGCCAATCGCAGTCAGGGCAGGAAATGCATTTTCAGCCCACCCATTTCCCATTTGGCCTGCAAAAAGGCGTGTTTTACAGAGGGCAGTTTATCATTTCGCAGCATTTTGATAATAATGATGTCTGAATAATTTTCCTTTTTGTTTCAGTCAACACTGTTTCACATACAGCATACATGTAGCAGCCCAATCAAAATGTTTTACTATACAGTGCTAAGTGGCAAAATGATATAACCAAAGTATACATAACAGGTGGCATGGCAAAGGCCTTACTAAATAAACCTTTAAGTATTGAATAAGAGCCAGTATTTCACGGGAAGCAGCAAAATTGCAGACTGCTTCCTCACTTTGACCAGGGTCTAAAAGAGATTTATCGCGATCCATGATTTGACCAAAAGACAAAGTGGGATTCTGGAAAACACAAGATAATTATCTTAACCGGAAACAGGATTTTCTGGTCACCCCAGAAGCCAGATTTGCCAAAATTTGGGCACGGGACCAGGGATTTTTTTAACCATATGTCGGGAATTTGGGAAATCCTATGTTTGAGCAGCAATTGTGAATTAACCAGGCAAGCGTTAAGTGGTATCTCCTCTAAAACCAGGAGCTGCATGATTCCTAATTCAAACCAAACTATAGAGAGTGTGCCTTGTTGTATTTTTTTTGGAAAGAAAAAAGGAATTCGAGAAAGAGATATCCAAAATTGTGGGATGCGGGATTTTCATGAAAAAGGAGTGGGAATTATATCATATTTAACTCACAATATCTCTCTGTTTCTGATTTGCTCATGCCCCTGGCTTATTCTTCAGAGCTAACTACACAGTAAAGGCTATCACCAGAAAAAGGGATCAGGAAAGCAAAAATCCCTGGGGACGAGATTGCATATTTATATAAGCTCACTTGTAAATAGCCAAATTTTAGCCTAAAACATAGTAACACAGCAAAAAATGCAAAATAAACAGATGGCAACTGCTATCTGGAGAATATATGTTAGATTTTAAACATCTCTTTGTATGACCATGATTTCTCGTGGAACAGACAAATGAAGACAGAAATTTAACATCAATCAAGTTAAGCTTGTTTTAAAGCAAGAACTACATGTATTTTGCATGAACATACATAATGGGTTCAGCTTTTTTATGATCTGAACAATAATATGCAGATCTTGGATGGTCTCATTCATTATAAAGGTACATGACACCCTCCTTGATCTGCATGATTCTTCACATTGTATGAAAACCTCATCCCCTAATTAGGTAGCAGGGATTGGGAAGGCCGAGGGCCATGTGCATGGCCCATAAAGTTAGAAAATGTTGCACTATAAAACTGCTAACCGAGTCCAGAATGGCCACCCTAAAGACGCGTAATAAGCACTTTAGTTATAAGCTCCTTAATTTGTGTATTAATTTGGTGTTACATGTACAACAAATAAAAACATGAACCTAACCCTTTGTTTCTTTGATCAGTGATCTTTTGCAAATGCACTCAGTTCTGTCGAGACAGACGTGCTTTGAGTTGATATATGCTTCTAGCTGTCTTTGTCTTTCTTGCCAAAACAAATTCATTTAACATTTTAATAATTATTTTTGAGATAATGCCTCCAAAGAGACTCCCGTTTTTAGCACGAATTTGACAGCCAAGTTCAAGATCAACTGCGAAAATGAAAACAACAACAACGATATAAAAACACTTTCCAGGCCTGCAAGTAACGAATACAGAAAATTCCAACCGCGCAAAGTGGCTCATGTTTGAAAGGGATGCCATGTTTTGCAAAACATTGAAAACAAGTGGTATAGCAAAGAAGTATCGCAGCTTCAAAGTTACAGTAAGTTGGATTGGAGTCACTTACTCAGTTTAGTTTAGAATTAGCAATTATCATGCTTAATTCTGATTCTTAATAATAGACTTAGCTTGTGCTAGCTACACAACTTTCTGTGTATCAAAATAAATATAGTGACTGCTAAAAGGGTCAAATTGATTGCTCTTTATATCCTGAGTTACATGTAAGTTCAATGGATGCACTGATTGATTCAGTACATTTTGTAAAACCTGAATAAACATAATTAAAAATTGAAAAATACTCGGTACTTAATCACAATAAAATACTGTACTCACTATTTTACCAGTAATGACATATGGTTGTTGTCGAGTCATTCAAGACACAACAGCGTGCATGTGTTTATGAAACTGCCATGTTTAATTCCTCTCCTCTATTCCTGTAGTGCGCATGCCTAAATACTAAACAACACACGCGCGTGACACATGAAAGGTCAAAGTTCAATAACACAACATCTCCCCTTTTTGAGAGATTGTAAAGTAACATACAACTCGGGTATGGAACTGAAATCTACCATATGTGATAACTGAAATAAAAACAAAGTTCAAGCACAAGTTTCAAAGTGTCTTTTAACTAAAGTTCAATGTTCAGCAAAGTCCAAGGCTCTCTTGTAACTTGAGAGAGGGTCTAATGAGTCTCTTTGGTCTAGAAGCGAGACAAGGTGATGGGAGTTGCTTCAAGGGAGTCAATGCCTTGTCTCGAGCTTGTTTCTTCACAACACTAGGTGAAACTGGCTTGTCCAAGACACTGGGCGACGCTGGTGTGTTGGTAGGGATTGGGTTGACATGAGAACGGTTTCGTCTCACTGTGCCATTCTCTGTCTCGACCAAGTAGGATCTAGGTGTTTCTGCTGCTCCAGCTATTGTACCAGTGGTTCCCATATCTTTGATGTGCACAGGAGTACCAGGTTGGACTGATCTCAAGGGAATGGCATTGTGCCGTTGATTGAAGTTGAGCCTTTGAGTTTCCTTGCTTCCTTCTTCCCTTTCACGTAGCTTGTCTATATCTGGCCAACTTGGATTGAGAACAGTGTGGAAAGTTGGGATGGTGTTTCTCAGTTTTCTTCCCATGAGTAGTTCAGATGGTGAATATCCACAAGCAAGAGGGGTAGACCTGTACGCCAACAGTCCTTTGGATGGATCTTTTTCTTTCTTCAGCAATGACTTGGTGGTTTCTACTGCGCGCTCTTCTTCACCATTAGACTGTGGGAAACGGGGGCTACTTGTTGTATGCTTGAAACCCCATTCTTTTGCAAAATGAGTGAATTCGGCTGATGCATACTGTG